TCGAGGCTTTACTGACTGATTTTTTGACAGTAAATTTGAAGAATCAGCTTCATACTGGTCAGCGTGGTTTACTTACTGTCTAGTCGTTCAACTTCAACTAATTTATACTGATTATGTTATAATTGCATTAAAAACCATTTTTATGTTGATTAGATTTATAATGACTCATCTACAAGCATCAACTGTTCTTGTAAATTGTGTAGACCATATTCATATTCTGGTATGATCAATTTCTTGAATCTGGATTCTCTTATCAAAAGTGTTACCTTTTAATCTTTATTTTTTAACTTGTTTATAAAATAACCAATCTACTGAATTGCTTCAGCTATTTTGTTTTCATATTCCTTCCTATTCACTGTGTCAGAATTTATATTTCCATGTTCCTTACCACAGAACTAATTATGTTTCACACATAGAGATGGTCTAAAACTTTCATATCAATAGCTTTAGGTACTATTTGAAGCACTTAAATGCTAAATGAAACTTATTATAAAATGTGTACTTATTTATTTTATTCATGTATATTTTATTCATGTATATTTTATTTTATCTGTAATTTTGTCTATTTTTCTATAATGTTGCATTTTTGCATAATTTTGACAGTGAATTTGTCCCGTTTGTTAATAATAAATAAATATAAATAAATGTAATAATAAATGTAAGTTTCTTTAAACATTTAAGTTTTATTTCCCAAAATACATTCTTAATATGCACAGGATGACACCACTTTTAGTACTTTATGCAATGGCGTTGACGTCTAATTTACATCCTGAGCGCTAAAATAGATGTCCGAAAATATCACAAAAGTCCGTCAAGTAAGTTCTCTGGACGTATTATGGACGTTCGATTAAGGTCCAATTAACGTCCCGGTACGTCCATAGGACGTTTGGCGCAGCGACATTCGGACCAATATAGGACGTAAATAGGACCAAAGCGGACGTTCGAGGGACGTCCCTAAAGTCCGCGAGGGACGTACTATGGACGTACTATGGACGTACATGTGCTATTAGGGTATATATATATATAATATATATATATATATATATATATATATATATGTATATATATATATATATATATATATATATATATATATATATAATAACTATATATATATAACTAAATATATATATAAAACATTTTATTATTCTAACCAGTATTTTCTAGTAGGTTCTCTGGTCTGAAAATAGTTCACGGTCGACCAAGACACTCACAAAGTATGTAGAGAGGTCTAATCAAGATGTCCGGGATATGTTGATTACCTGGGTAAACGATAATAATAATACAAAATGGCCCGAAGGGTTGAGATTTATACAGTCCAACAAAAACAGATCTATGCATAGAGGAATTGGTAGGAGCACTTATGAGCCCATGTTTGGCAGCAGACAAACAAATGGTTTAGAAGACGCAGACCTTCCGCAAGATGTTCTTGATAAACTACAAAATGAAGAAGACTTGGAAAAATTAATCAATAGCATGGAAAGCAAACATGATGATTATTTAAAAAATGGAGAAGAAAGCAACAGTGTCGAACCCTGCTAAGAGAATTTAGAGAATCAAGACAAATATATGAATGACTCTTTAGAAATCTTGGACAATAATACCTGATTAAAAATAATGAAGATGCACCCAATATACAAGAAGGCAAAGTTTCAATGATCAGTTAACCCAAAGAAGTAAGAGAATATTGAATGAGAGAGAATAATCACATAAAATGATGAGAGTTCAGGCATCAAAGACGATATGTAAGTCAAATAACAGATTTGCTCCTTTAAAAAAGGAACTAATGTTTTAATTCGAGTGCCGGATGTTGATAGACGTCGATTAAAACTCTAAGAAATGTATTAGCCATTGTTTCTGAAGTTAATAATGATGGCTTGTACAAACTTAGTACTGAGAATAGACCTCTGAATAGATTCTTTTTAAGAAATGAACTCCTTCAAACCGATTCGCAATTTATGTTTGAATTAAATGATATTAGTATAAATACCCTTGCGAACTGCAGCAAATATGTCATTCAAAGGTTCTGGTCAAGGTTTTCTCAAATGCAACTGTAATTCAAAGGAACAAACCATGTAATTCAAAGTGTAATAGATCAGTGACATGCCAAAATAAATGAAGAAATTTAGTTCTAAAAATTTTTGAGTTTCATACTTATTTTTATCTGCATTTTTTTTAAATAAGGTTAGAAGTTTCGTTATGTGGGTATTTGTATTTTTATTTACATCACTAAGCATTATGTACATCTTTTATAGCCATTATTTTTATTAACGTATTTTTATTTACATTTTTTCATTAAAATCCTTTTGGATTTAAAGATCTACAGACTAATTCAATAACTATTCCAAGTTGCTGTACTAAATTCATCGCAACTTGTATTTTGTTGCATTGTAAATCGTTTTGTAGCTTTATTCCATGATGAAAATCCACTAGAAAAACGCAGTCTCTATCAATTCAGTCTTAGTATTGTCGTTCATGCCAAAACAACTGCAAGAAAAACAGAAAGCTGCATCTTTTGTTGGACTATATTCCAACCATTTTGGCCGAGGACTGTTCTAATTTTGGTTAGTAACGATCTCTTACTGTTCTAGAAGATCTTTCTAATCTTTCTTTTTGGTAATTGTAAACAAAGTACATCGAGCATTGTTCGGAACATATCCAAACTGCGGTGCAGTAATCCCTTTTAATATATCCGAGACGGACCTGTGCGGGAACGGCTAGCCTAGCGAGAACGCCACCATTCCGAAACTGATCTCCGACAATGCAAGTCGCATATTTTATTTTCTCCGGGCGACCAATTTAAATATATTGATCAGCTTTATCACTTTCCGTTATTATTCCATAGTTACAGTGATTGTATTGTGAGTATTGTTTTGAGAAACTGTAAGTACAATTTTAATTCAGAGTTATTCACCTGCCAATGGTATCAGTAATGTGAGATGTTAAACACACTTAGTTTGCTGGATTATTGTCACTTTCATCAAGTTGCGATAATAAAACATTATTATTCGAGTCAGAATTTATTCTTCCTGAACCTGCATACGAGAAATACAGCCACTCCATCGAAGAAGTAAATTTTAATTCCTAGTATAGTGATTGGGGTTAAGAAAGAGAAGCTGTCCCCATCAAGCACAGTACTATGGTTTCCTATCGTATTTGAAGGATGTTTCCTATCCTCTTATCGTTGAAGCCACGCCGAGACCCCGTTAGAATTTTAACAAAGGAAATTTACCTGAATTCACCAAAGAGCTGGACACCTGCATTCGCTTCATTGACCCAAAGGCCAACAATTATCACCGTTTTTTAGGAATGGTTATTTCTATCGCCAAAAAACATATCCTTCGAGGTTTCTGAAAGGAGTACATCCCAGGCTGGACGGAAGAAAGCCAAAAACTATATGACCAATTTTTTGAAATCAGAAGATCCCGAAATTGGTGACAACTTACTGAAGTCACTGGACTCAACAAGACTTAATAAATGGAAGTCTACCGTAGAACATATTGATTTCTCACGTTCCAGTCGAAAGGCATGGGGACTGATCCGCAAACTGGACGAAGCAACAAACCAACAATTGAGCCAAATAAAATAGCCAATAGAATAATTGAGAACTCCCGAGCTTCATCTGAGAAAACTCATACATCTACCGTAAAAAGAGCTCTTAAACAACTTAAAGCAAATACTCCCGCAACATCAGAATACTCACGTGCCTTCTCATTGGATGAAATAAACGAAGCGCTTAACCAAACTAAAAGAGGAAAAACAGCAGGCTTCGATAAAATGTATCCTGAGTTTATAGTCCACACTGGTACAAAAACACGACAGTGGCTCAAAAAATTCTTTAGCGACATTGTGAATACAGCTGTGCTACCCCCAGAATTCAAAAGAACAAAAATTATTGCAATCCAGAAGCCTGGCAAAGACAACAAGCTGCCTGAAAGTTACCGGCCTATTGCCTTACTCAGTTGCTGTTATAAATTACTAGAACGACTTTTATATAACCGAATATGTAACACCATTGAGGATGCTGTACCAATTGAACAAGCTGGATTTAGAAGAGGACGAAGTTGCTGTGACCCAGTGCTGTCGTTAACTACATTTATTGAAGCTGGCTTTGAAAGACGCGAAAAATCTGCCATAACGTTTATAGATCTCACGGCTGCCTATGACACTATGTGGAGAGAGGGCCTTATTTATAAGCTGATGAAAATCATACCTTGCCTCAAAACTTGTCAGCTGATAAACAATCTACTGACTAACAGACTATATTTTTATCATACTCGTATAATAATTATTCTATTTGCTATTATCTATTTTTCATTTATTTACAACTTGCATTTATAACTTTTTAAAACATTAATGTTGGCTTATGTAACATTATAATCGTTAGTAATTAACAGTAACGGGCTACTGGTAAACAACAGACAGTTGAAGGTAACCGGGAACGACCCAATACTAAGGAAGCAATAAAAAACGGTGCTTCAAAGAGTTCAAAGTGAGTGTCTTTTAATAAATTTTAATAAAAGACACTGACTTTGAAGCACCCGTTTTTTATTGCTTCCTTAGTATTGGGTCGTTCCCGGTTACCTTCAACTCTCTCTCTATATATATATATATATATATATATATATATATACACATAATATACCATAATTATTATATTTTTATATAATATCAGCTTACTTTTAATTACAGAAATCCTAAAAAATCGTACTGGTTTAACTTTTACGTATATTTGGTTGCCTATGGTAAACAATATCTTTCATATAATTGGAACGCAGCCCACGCTATCTTCTTTAATTGTCAAAAAACTACAGCGTTTCTCCCACAGATGTCTCCAAGATAGAATAAACAACGCTTGCGCGAACGGAAGACAGCTACGACCAACTGCCAAAGAAAGATGATTAAATTCATATACCTTAAAAAGAGATAAAATAAAACTGGTTTGTTTGAGATCATGGAAACCGAGGTTATTTAAACATAAACAAATTGAAAATCACACAAGATCTTTGAACAACTGAATTCGAAAGGAAGGAAGTAACATCTAAGGTGAGGTAGCGGATAACATCTTCCACCGGCCCGAACATCATGGCTGAAGCGGAGCAACAACAAACAGCGCCAGAACAACCTAAGGCAGTCCCAAAACAGAAGGAAGTACTTGGTAAGAAAGTTTAAAAATACTTTTCAGAATTTTTCATTCGGCGTGTCCGGCATCCATGTTTGTACTCGATGAGCACATGGTCGGAAAACTAATTTTCATCATTTTCACAATATCTTACTGTAAACGTGCAAGAATGTAACTTAATTTTGTTTAAAATGTCATTAGGCATGACTTAAATAACTTTTGAAAATCATATTCAGTTGTACATTGATATCTTGCCGGTTATTGACTCAGCTTCCTTTAGATTTATAATTAATTTTTATTTAGACACGTTTTCTTTCACAAACGAAGTTGACTTTCTTAACTAGACTTCCATTTTCTTATTGATAAAACATTTCCTTTAATTTATATTGGTTGAAACAATTTTTGGATATTTCAATTACCTGTCTTGAGTGAGCTATGTAGGTACTTATTATATTTATATATTAATGTTAAATCATTATTGTTAGTTTCATTTAAAATATATATTATTTCAAAATAGCCCAGTCTTTTAAAATGGGCCTTTGAAGAAGTCCTTAATAAAATATACTTAAGTGTTTCATCCGAACTTCTATGTATGTGTTTTTACATATCTGTTTTTTATCAGAGTCCTCTTCACATTTACAGTCAAGGTTATCCAAACCATAAAAGTGGGTTTTTATTATAAATAAATTTCCTAATGTTTCGCGCCCGATTGGAATAATATGGAAAATTGGATGCAATTAGTATTCATGTAATGAGTTCCTTCTAGTTTTTTTTTTAATTCGTGTTCAATTAAGATTCTTTTTTAAATATATTTTGTTTTAATTAGCAATCAAAACAAGGTTTATCAACTTATTAGTTTGAAAGTTATTATGGTTTTAGTTAACTTGACAAACAAGTGTTAATACCAATTAAATTCCCTCTTTAACCAATTAGTAGACCTGTTGATCTGTGAGAATTTTTTTTACAGTTGAAAAGATGTTTTATTTAAGTCGAGTACAGTAACAGTAAGAATTCCCAATTTGATTTCTTATTCGAGTTTGAAGACAAATATTTGTAACCAGCTTTTTAGTGTAGGATTTGCATTTCATATTTTCTGTTTTGGGTATCCGACCAAGATGCATTGTTACATACAGTATAATTGTTAATTAAATTACTCTTGTATGGTTATATTGATGCAATATATAATTACAGATAGTAAGATTATATTTATACAATACTATACAATTATAACAGACTAAAATAGTTATCCAGTTTAATGAAAGTCATAACATGTACTTAGAAAGATAAAATTCTCCAATAAAATAAGCACTGTACTTTAGTGTTTAGTTGTATATGAATATATAACATGTCTAGCCTGTGGCCACATTTAAACACAATAATACTGTGGTTCAAATTTGTATGCACTTTCTGTAGACATTGTGCACCAATCTGGTTCACATGGATCATGAATGTGTTAAACATGGTTAAAGTCAACAAAATGTGTAACATGGCTTGCCTAAATTTCTTCTTTGGTCTTTTTCTCCTACTTCCTCCATAAACTTCTTAATATTTAATGATTATCATTTAAACATTGAACATGGCCTAACCATATTAACATTAGCCAAAACTCAAGAACTTCTGTCAGTGGTATGGAGTCTGCAACACTACACAATTTAGGTCTGCTTCAGACCATGCAAATGGTTGTCAATGTTCAAGAAAAATGCTCTCTCATTTTGCTATCACTCAGTATCTCACTCCTAGACTGCTTCTAATATATATATATATATATATATATATATATATATATATATATATATATATATATATATATATATATATATTCTCCAATTTTTGACCGAAAAAACTTTACCTCTATTTTATTCTACACATACTGTATTACCATTTGGAAGGACCTGGTTTATTGCATTATTTATGAGTTTGAAGTATAGTTTTTGTTCTATTATATTGTTACTTAATCTTAAATACTGCTGAAGGTACAGTAAGTGTTCATAAAATACAAATTTGCTTGCTGATTATTCTATAATATTTAATGACAAAATTTAAATGGTCTGAGTTTGAGTTTGCTCAATTTTTAGCAGTGTATTCTACCTTTTTTCCTTGCCTATTAAGATGCTACTTACTTAACTAGACTGGCACCTATTTTTCTTCAATTAAAATTTGCTAACCAGGATCACTTCTGGTTACCAGATGTCTGATTCCTCGCATCCTGTTTATTAAGTATTTAATATATTATATACCTTTATACAATTCTGTTTTACTTAATTACACTCATTTTCTTTTCAAATAACATTTTTTAACTAAATTTGTTTGGATCCCTTGAGTTTCGATAATGGAAATTCTAGTCTACTAGTATTTTGAAATTTCAATAGCAGTAATTTATTTTCTTTCTGCCAACAAATTTCTGTAAAATCCTCGTAATTACTAATTTTCAATTGTTATGTAATGTGTTATTTCATGGGCAATCTCATTTCTTGTTTTATCTAGTTGCATTATGTTTGCTTTCCAGAGGTTTTATGGAAATACAAATGTAGTCCAGTAACTTGTGCAGAAAATAGGAGCTTACCTCACAATTCTGTGTGACTACATGGATTTAGCTGAACATTTGGATTTAAGTTTAAGTTTACCCTCCTAGGCAAAAGTTATATATGGGCGAAGTGTGCCTTTTATTTTTAAGGAGTTAAAACTTCCTCTAGACAGAAAAAACAGGAACACATTTAAGCATTTTATACATTAAAATCTAATTGAATTAAACAAAATAAGCATATTCAATGATAATTTGTACTTTAATACTAAATTTCAACCCTCAGAAAGCACCGCTTATGACGTAAATAATGTTGAATATTTTTTTTATAATGTAAAATGCTTAACTATAAATAAAATCAATAACAATTCATTTATTGCTTGTGAAACAATGTTTCATTTGTTTAAAATTTTAACCCCTAGAAAGCATCCCTTTATATAAAAAAAATACTTATGATCTATTTATAGTTTAAAATGTTTTAATTTTCCATTTAGAAAGCTAAAAATTAGTCTACTACAATGCTAAAAATAGTTTTGTATACATTATAATTCTAAACATAGGTATCTAAATCAATAAAAATTTGTTCCTTGCTTATGAAACATTATTTTTTCGTTGCAACTTTTCTAACCATTAAAACTATCCCCATGCTAATAACAGTGCAATGCACTCAATATTATTTGTTGGTGTAGAGATATTTATCTACAAAACTATTATGCATACTTCAGATATGTGAGAGCTCCAAACAAAAAAACAATTAATTTACCAATGTTTGTATTTTGAGAACTATTTTGGGAAGTCAGTTAATTTTCAAGCTTTGATCTATAATATATAGCCATTTGAAAGGTTTCAACTGCTACAAGGCTAGTTTCATTAAAAAGCCAAGCTACCCTTCAATTTTAAAAAATTAAGGTTTGAAGCACTCGAAACAGAGGGTGTTCACACCAAGACATACATTTTAATTGTTAATATCGCTATTGTTTTTTCAGTACAGAAGTTTATAGAAAACGAGAATATTTATTTAAAAAAGAATTTATTTATTATATATATATATATATATATATATATATATATATATATATATATATATATATATATATATATATATATATTAAATGGCCAACTATATGGCCTAGGAGACAAATTCGTTAAACTTCCCGTGCTCAAATTGGTATCACTAAAGTGTTATGATCATAAGCCGAAATGATCATAACACTTTAGTTATACCAATTCGAGCACTGGAAGTTTAACGAATTTGTCTCCTAGGCCATATAGTTGGCCATTTAAGCCGAAATGATCATTACACTTTAGTGATACCAATTCGAGCACGGGAAGTTTAACGAATTTGTCTCCTAGGCCATATAGTTGGCCATTTAATATATAAAGCGATAGCGGCTTTCGCTAAAAGATTTAATTCTTTATATATATATATATATATATATATATATATATATATATATATTTATTGTTTTCAAGTTATTTTCAAAGAAAAAAAATATTTTTAGAAATTTTCAAAAATAAAACTTATTTTTTAAAAATAATGCTTTTTAAACTAGTCAAACTCCTGGATCTAATGAAGAACACTAAATAAAAATGTTATATTGAAGAGAAACAATTAATTTTCATTCTGGTGGATATTAGGTTAATTATACTGCCCTTTTTCCTTAAAATATGTGCTCATTTTAAAGGTCTTTTCATGGACTAGAAATTTTTTATATCATTACCCCCAAAAAAATCAACATTACAATTTAACATTGAATACATTTATCCAAATATTTGCAAAAATATGTCTCCTTTCACTGGCCCTATTTCACTTTGTATTGTATCTAGAATATCTTGTAAAAAAATAATCTCATTATTTTTTATAAGATTTATTTTTGTTTTACATACTTTTTATATACTACACTGTGATGTCTTGTAGAGTTATTAGTGAAAAACCCTTAAAAAAGTGACTTTTTTAATGAAAATTCGCACAGAAAAGCATACATAGCACAGTATTGTCTTTTTGAAAAAACTAGGCAACAAAAGTTAACCAGAACTTAATTCTCTATAGATTCCCGTAATTATTTTGAGTGAAAATATGTCCCTTCTCAGGAAGGGGTGGCAATCACCACTGGGAAGCGTTATATAACTTTTTAATTTGAGCACTTTCCCATCAACTTCCAAATTTCAAGTGAATCGGTTGTCCGACAAAATTGGGAGGTGAATAGCTCGAGTAGCGTGAGTAATTGCATTTTTTTAAATGATATACATCAATGGGTAGTCAGTCAATTAAATATTTTCAGGCTTTAAAAAGACTTGAGTGTATGCGCAAAATTTCAGACCAATGCTTTTTAATGCATTTATTTTTTTTTATCTTGAGAAAACTAGTTTAAAAAAAAAAAAATTAAACACAGAATGAAAAATTACATTATATCCGAGCACCGTAAGTCCCTTAGAATAGACAAAAAGTTTCTTTGGAATAAGATATTTTAAACTAAAAATCACACTTAATTTTCTCTTCTTCACCCCTGTAACTTACTAAAATAAAGATTATAGAAGTTTTCGGACCCTAGATAATAATGTATCTTTCATTCTGCGTTTAAATTTTTCAAAAATACTTGTTAGTTTTCTCAGGATTCGAAAAAATGAGTGCATCTAAAGCATTGACCCAAAATTTTGCGCCTACGCTCTTAAAAGGCAACCAACCACTTAATAAAATGAAATCTTACAAAGTTACAAAATGCGTGAGCTTATAAAAGTTTACTGATTTCAACATTTAGAATTTAATTTTTCTAATAACATTTTTACCATTACTCATTCAGCAGGTTATATTTGATGCAAAATAGTACTAAACTTTTTACATTCATCGATAAATAGTCTTCTTAAGTCAGTCTCAAAAGTGAATGTTTCATATCTTGCTATTTGTTATTCAAGAGTTCATTGTTTGTTCTCAATGTCAAAATGGCCAAGAATCCTGGGCTGATTCCATTAAACTCACTCCATTTACTATAAATAATAGAGCAAAAAACTCATTTTTAAAATTTTCAGCCTACACATTTTCATACATTTGTTTACAACTTTTGTGTATGTGGTTTAGATATATAAAGGTTCATTTAACTCTTAGTAGTGTCATAGCTTATTTTTAGATCTAATTGTCTGTGAGAGTGATTGTAAATTAACTGATATATGAGTGTGGCCAAAATAACATTGCAACAAGTTACAAATTGTAAGAGCCTTCATTTTTTTTAGTTTAAAAAGTTTTTAGTTTATTTGTTATGTCAACTTTTTAAGATAACAAAGGGAGATGTTTAAAATATTTAATATTGGAAATTATTAAAATTGAAAATTATTAAAATTTAAAATAGAAAATAGAAAATTCAACTTTCTTATCAAATTATGGTTCCTACAAATTACAATCAATGATAGTCCTATGTGCTCTAGAGGTGGTCATATAATGAGTCAGATATTTTTCCAAAATTTGGACAATGAAGATGACAAAAAAATGCATCGCAAAAAATGCAAAAGACTTTGATTGGATCTTACTGAAGAATGTTAGGATGTAATGGATGGGACATAAATGATGTCAAGATCTAGCTTGGCTACTAAGTCACATTTTTTTAGATAATTTGTTTGTGACAACAAGAAGAGGGGGCTGAAAAAAAATTAATAATTGAAGAAAAGTCATCTGTTCTGAAAAGACTTCTCAGTTAGGTTTAATTATTCTAAAAATTAAGTTAGTAATTGGCAATGTTGAGTCGAGCCCAGTCACTATGGTAAAGGATTGAGATTAGCACTGTTAATTACAAATTTATTTATCCATTTAACTTAAAGGTTTTCACTGCCTTTTTAAAAGTATAATTGATAATATACACTGCGCGTCATTAAAAAGAAGCCACCTAAAATTTTTGACATTTTAATTCTTACGAACCCTACAAGAAATGGATTGTCATTAGATGTTTGTGTAAATGTCAAGAAAAACTTCTCCAAAAACGATGATTTTAGTAGAAAATTTAAATAAATTAAAAAACAACAATTTCTGTTTTCTTTATAAACCTTCATATCACTACTTTTGTAATTTTTAATATTCTTTATTACCACCTCTATTTTGAATTACCCTCCTCATTCAACGCCAACCGAAGCTGTTCACAATATATTGGAGCAGGTATTCTGTTTCCTCTTCGTTTGAGTTAATCCCATACATGCTCAATCAGGTTCAAATCTGGGCTTTTAACTAGCCAATTCATATTTGGCACACTGACAGTTTCCAGGTTTTGCGTTACCATCCTGGCTACTTGTGGCCACGCGTTTTACATGAAAATAAAGTTTTCAGCCACAAACCCAGCAAAAGGCATTGCATGCTCGTATATAATTTCGATAATATATTGGTGAGCATTCAATGGTCCTCTATTGATAAACACGTGATCAGTATGGCCTTCGAATGAAATGCCTGCCCAAAACATTACAGAACTTCCTCAAAAAGCAACACGTGCTCGTACGGCACAAGCAACATATCGTTCCCTACGTCTTCTGTACGTTTTGATGTGACTGTCTGAGCCATAAAATACCATCCTGAATTCGTCACTAAACAGAAACATTTTTCCAATCTATCGTCCAATACTCGTGGTTTCTAGCAAACTTAAAGTTGGCATTGTCGGATGTGCTGATGTTAACAAAGGTCCTATTGCTGGGCAGCGAGCTCTTGACCAAATTCTCTCAACCTAAAGAGCGGTCTTATCTGGCAGTCGTAATTCTTCTCGCGCCAGGTTCTGGCCGTTGTTCGTGAGATCCAGTCTTTACGAATTAATTGGTATGTTTTTTGAACCATACAATGACTGATTCCAAGCTGTCTGGCCACTTCTATTTGACTGATTCATTATCAATCAAACAATTTGAACAGATCTAGCAAATCTCTTAGGCATAGTTTTAAATTTAAAAATTACATAAGTTCACTTGTTGAATAACTGTACTCTAATGAAAGAGTTTTGAAAAACATACCAGTCATATTCCAAGAAAAACAACTTAACAAGCAACACATCCATTCTGTGAACTTATTACCCCTAATTGACCTGTCGGCACCCACAATAGAATAAATTGCATAAACTTAAAACTATTGAAAAATTCTTATAAAATTCTATGTGGCAGCCCCTTTTTAATAACGGGTAGTATATTTTCAGAATACTTCAATTTGTCCCCATTCGGATTTACAAAATGTTTATCCATATTATCTGTGCCCTTTATTTTTTGTCCAAGACACTAATTAAATAAATTAATTTCGGTAATGCTACTATGAGGGAAGCGAGTCACTAATTTATACAATATTGATTTTAAGTATGTATCTTATAATTAAATTATGCTTTCATATTAAAACAATAGGGCATGACAATATTCTATAGTATGAAAATATTTCTATTGTTTTGCTATTGTAAGTTCAAATTGAGTTATGCAGAGTTCCAGTCTTGTCTGCTGCAATGTACTTATCATATGTGAAATTTATTTTAACAGACATGCTTAAAAGAAAATATTGGTCTGCGTTTTAAAACCACATTGACTTCTCATAATATTCTATTTTTCTTTAGCAACTAAGGTAACTGGCACAGTAAAATGGTTTAACGTCAAAAGCGGTTATGGATTTATCAACAGAAATGATACCAAAGAAGACGTTTTTGTGCACCAAGTAAGTTCCATTTTATTTACTTTTATTTATTTTAGTGTTGTGCATTGTGCATATATGAAAGATGTTTCTTTTGCTATAATTATATAACTTTTGCATATTATCTTTGAATCAAGCTGATTCAGTTATTAATTTCACTTCACTTTTCACATAAAATGATATATTTTTGTCTAGATACACTTCCATATTTCCTAAGCTTCAGCCATCCTTATTTTATGTATGTAATTGTATTTCAGTTATTTAGTTCCTATTTATTTCTTTTTTCAGTATTGAATTAATTATTTTATTTATGTTTGGTTTGGAATCATAATTTTTCTCACAAGTGAAGTATAAAATGGTATTATATGCTGCCATGTTTGAGTAGGGCATTTATTTGTTTGAGCTAATGTTTCTTATCGTAAGTGTTATTGATTATTGATTGTTTCTACTTTCACGTAAGGAATTACAAGTTATTTTGTGTGGATGTTGGTGTAGTTGTAGATCAAGTGATTTTTTTTAGAACAGGTAATAAAGACTAGCAGCTGTGATGGTATCGGATTTTCAGTAGAAGGTCACTCAAGCACACTTTGTTGAGCAAAATGGCATTTTAAACTTATAAATTTACTGTAACATTATCATTCATTACATAAATTTGGATCCAGCTGTGTAGTGTAACAAATTATATCCTTTCCGTTTTTTGTATTTGATAATTTTTGTTTGTAGAAGTTATCAGTTAAGCTTTATATCATTTTGTTACTTAATGAATATTTAATTACAAACCAAAAATTTTAATTTTGCCTATCATTTCAAATATTAGGTCAAATAAATAAAGATAACATTAATCAGCAGAATGGTGTTTGTTATGAAGCTTATTATTTATTATTAACTTTGAAATAAATAAAAACTTAATATCTACTTGCTAACTCTAACTAAATGAAAGTATAGCAAATATAATTTCTATTAAATATTGGAACTTTTTTTTGTATTTAGTTAATGCGTAATCTCAGGTTTTTACAAATTATCAAATAATACTAAGAAGCGGAAACAAGTTTTGTGACAAAATTTATATTCACATAATAAGTTATTCAAATTTTTTATTTAAAAGCAATAAGCATAAAGAAAATAAACTATAAATTGATGTCAAGATATAACTAAACGGGTTCTACAGAACAGGAGTTAATGGGTCAAAAATTTTATAGAACATCACAACCAATTAACAATGCACATATTGTTATTTGAAGTTTTGAGACATTCAGTACCAAATCAGAATTTAATGGGGAATGACAACCCTTCAACTTTTTTAGCTTCCTAAAGTTGCTGTTCATCCTATTGGTTTCCTAAATTTTCTGAATACTTCTGACAAGAAGTAAATGGTAGTGTACTATTCAGGATTTACTGTTGTTTAGTTAATTAATTTAGTTAAGTTAATAAAAGTTAATAGCATACTTTTGTTTAAATCTCTATAAACAAATTAATTCGCAACTTTTTAGTGAGATTTTTATTGTTTAAAAGTTTTTTTAAGCTGAACTAATTATCTTTAAAATGAGGGGATTGTGATAGTTAATCGCACATATGAAAGCTGAGTTAAACCTGGAAAAGCCGGTCAAATGCCTGTTTTTCAATTGTTTTTCACAAAATTTGTTGTATCTCCGGTTCTAACAATTGTATCAAAGTTGCATAAAAGGGGACATAAAAGTGCATATTCAACCCCCACTGGCTCCTAGACTAGCAGGAGTTCATTGAGATTGAAAATTTAACAATGTAGTTAAAATAAAATCATTAGCATGGGTACTAAATAAAGTAGCCCAGCCATGGGACTCAACCACATCTGTTAATTTTTGAGCCCATTTTATAGAATACTTCAAGCTGTCTTTATATACATTATTAAAAATTCCATTTCTACATTTTGCTACATATGGTAGACACATATTGATACTACAACTTTGCAAGTTTGGTACTAATTTGTTGCTGTAATTTCTTCATCCCATCTTTTAATGTTATGACAAGTATGTATCTCAATAAAAATGATGAATATTCTCTTAAATTTTAACAGTAGCTTAGTAGTTGACGATAGAAAAACACTGTAAGATCAGAAACTACTGGAAATTTGCATTTCCCAACCCCTTCCTTAAATATAAGTCAAGCAAGAAATTTACATCAGATCTATAAGACCATTTGACCACTGACAAGTTACTAAATAAATATTCTTTTTTTTTAAGGGGAGAAAGTTTCAAAATAGTAATGAATAATTGCACATTCCTTAGATCCATCTCTGTATTTCTAAGAGATGACTGAGTCATAAATGTGCTACATCACAATACCTCCAAGAATCAACTGCTTATGTAATATTTTAAAATAAATAAAGTATTACTAGTTGGTTAGTGGAGAACAATTTTACCATAAGAATAAAATTTAATTTTGCTGTTGACTAATAACATTCCATTTGTAAAGGTCGTTTAGATAAGAATGCCAAGAAACTAAAAATAATTCAGGCTTCAGCACGTGGAGTCTTTTCTGTGGACTTATTTTCGCTTTGTGTTCTTATCAAAATTTTCATAAATTATCAGATATTTTTAGAAAGTGTTACTTAAACGCTGTAAACAAAGCCCGTTTTAATTATTAATCATTGTTTGTGTTATTAATTTATTATGTCATCCGTGACTAGTTGACAGTCTTACTTTTTGTCTATGATTTCAAGAATTCTTTTTTAATTTCATTTAACTTTTTAGCTTCTAATTTATTATAGTTAGAGAGCTCGTCAGCAAAAAAGTTTATACTTCCGATAGATACTTCCTCCAAACTTCACTTCAGGATCGCTTCGTTAGGTCGAGTCCGACACGTTTTCCATCTGCGACTTTTTTTTTCCTCGAAACATTTCACCCGTCAAACAGGAAAATCCGAAAACCTGTTCTGTCAGACACGGACAATATGAAAAGTTGTTTTTGCTACTGTTAATGAAAGTACTCTGAAAAAATTTGTTTATCTATGAATTTCGCCACTGTAGTTTTTCCGACATGTTCGAGTCGTCAGACATTTATCATCATTTTATTTTCGTGCCCTTCTTATAGTTTTTAAGCTATTTAATTTAAAAAATATACAAAATAACTAATAAATTCGTTATGAATGGGTCAAAAACGACCATAAAACGTTTGAATACGGGCAAGTCACTAATTTACCCACAAGCCATCGCTGAACATGATTTTTTGATGAAAGTTTTCTTTTTTATGGTTATATAGGTAGCTCATCTACATCAGAAGGTATATTGTATTCCTCTTTTTTAAGTACATTTAAACAAAAAATTGTTTCTACTTATTTTAGTATACATGTCTGTTAGCGTCTATTTATCAGTTGACTACCTTTTTCTAAAACTTCGCAGTACTCCTTCAAAATTGGCTATGCATTAATCCAAAATTATTTTTGAAAAATTAAATAAAATTTGTTCAATTCTTCAAAACTTGCTGGAAGTAGAATACTCCATAAAATAGTTTTAATCCTACAATTATGGATAGTTCATATTAAATATTAAAAAGTAAAATGGGATAAGGAAGTATCTCATTTTTCAATATACTATTAATATTTTTACATCACCGCGGCCTTGTGTAAAAAATAAAAATGATTAATTTATAGTAAAATCTCTATTCTTTATGATTTTTTTATTTAATTTTATTCATTTTAGTCAGCCATAATAAAGAATAACCCGAAGAAAGCCGTCCGATCAGTGGGCGACGGTGAAGTCGTAGAATTTAGCGTAGTCGTAGGTGAAAAGGGTAACGAGGCGGCCAATGTAACCGGCCCTAACGGTGACCCAGTAAGAGGTTCGCCTTATGCCGCCGACCGAAGACGAGGATACCGCCAGTGGTATTACCCGAGAGGAAGACGTGGTGGTGGACGTCGTGGCGGTAGCCGAGGCGGCGGACCGCCAAGAGAAAGCCAAAGTGAAGGCGAATTAAAGGTATTTATTTATATTGTTCTTCGTACCTTAGTTTTACTTTTGGTTTTTAATTTCACTTTTTGGATAGCACATCCAAGGCAGCGGCAGTGTTAATATTTTACAACTGAAGCGTTCGGCTGTGCAAAATAAATACGAGGATTCGCTAACACCATGAGAATCTTTTCGATTCTATGAATGGAGTTTGATAGTAACCTTGTTACAAAAATATATATTGTCACTTTTTTTTGCTCTCATCCTTTGTTGTGTGTATTTCTTTTTTTATTTACTTTTTAAGATATTTGCAGACATTATTCTATACAAAAAAATACATTAAAGTTTAGCATCGCTTAGTCTTCGCTGCTTTTCCTCAATACATTTGAAAGTTTGTCGGATCTTCGGCAGCACATTTTGTTTTAAAATTAAGTTTAAACCTAATTCAAAATACATTTATCTGTTATGTTCATATACAGAAATTAATATTTCTTCCGAGTTTTGGCAGTTTTAATGCCTTTACTTACTGCTGTCAACTTCTTTTTGGGCATTTTGCATTTGATCATACAATGTTAACGTTTATAGTATTATACAAAGTACACATGCGAGATATTAAAATTTTTAAATTAAAAATAGGATGGAGTACAATCAGGCGGTGAAGGCGGCCAAGGTGGCCAAGGACCCCCACGTCGGTATGCTCCAAGACGAGGACGTGGAGGATATTCATATTACAGGGGACCCTATCGCGGACCGCCAGGAGAATTAGAACAAAATGGAGATGCTCCCCGTGGTCGTCGACCCCCACGTGGCTTTTTCCGTCGTAATTACCGTGGAGGTCGCGGCGGCGCAAGACCACGTTCCCAGGACAGCCAGGGCCAGGCTGGAGAGCTAAACGGTCAAGAAGGTGGACCACGTGGACCTCGTGGACCACGCTACCGCAGACGTGGCCCAGCCCGTCCAAGAGCCGGTAACTCTCAGTCGGAGTCTGCAGGAGGGAACCAACCAAATACCAAGGTCAGTTCAAAGCAGAAAAATTATAAATATCAATACCTTTAGTCTTAGTTTTGTACAATTTTTTTTAAAGTTTTTGTTAAATTGAGAATTCAAAGATAATCAGATAATGCCAGATCAGATAAACCAAGATCATGTAAAAAACAATTTTAGGCCACCAGAGGGTCATGAGTTTAAACTGTATGTTCTTACCATTTTACCCATTTAGTATCTACCTACACCTTCTTTTATTTTATTATAGCCTAAATAGTTTTATTGTTAGGCATGGTACTTATGTAACAATTGTTTTTTTAGACAATAAGAAACTCTGGTTGCTCTTTCTTGAAAACTGAAAAAAGTAGAGTATATATCACGATTCTTATTGATTTGTACAAATAATTGGTAGTGAGACCTTAATTTTTTTAAATTGACCCAACAAGAGTTAACTTTTCTGACAGAAGTTGTAGTCAATGAATAAGATGTAGAAAAAGTATTGCACGTAGACCAAAATTTCTTGTATCTTTTGTTAATCTCTTGACAGCATGTTCACACCTTTATGCGGTTCTCTAGTTTCTTTTTTTCTTGCGTAAACATCTTAATTTCAATGCCAAGATGTGGCAAATAGCGCAAAATTTCATTTCATATTTACCTGTTTTTTTTTTAAATATATTGCCTATTTTCCTTAAAATGCAACGAGTTGTTTATCAACTCATCAACTGTCATAGACCAGTTGGGAACAATTGTAATAATATGAATTTCACAATTCAAAGCATTTCTTTATATGGTCTAATTTATCTAATGACCTGTTTACATATTTCGAAAACATTATCTAATTGAATAGTGTAGTATACTTGTAAGTTTTTTACAACTTATATCATTAAAAATGTTTCTTTCAAAAGTCCAATAATTTTTTATTTCTGTCAAGTCTACTGGTTTCCATTTTTCATTATATTTTCTATTAGATTCTGCATTTGTCCATTTTATAATTTTCAAAAGTGGCTCTAGAAAGTAAATTTAAAATGATAATGTGGAAAACCCTTTACAATTTGCAAATCTTATGGGTCCTGCCTTTTCTCTCAAAATATTGTATTGAGCTTGTCTTCCTTGTGGTCTAATAACTTCATTGGCATTCCACATGTATTAATTGTTTTTCGATATAAAATTTGCTGAACTTGTACTTGATTGGTCTCCTTGAATAACATTTGTTGATTCCCTGTCTATCCTCAATCATGACATATTCTATGTTAACTTATTTTCTTCAATTATCACTGCTAATTCCGCTCGAGTCAGTGGCCTTCTTCTTAGAGTGCCGACTCCTTACAGAGGTTGGTAATCATAATGGCTATTTTTATTTTTGAACTTGCTGCTCTAAACAAGTCAATCAATCTGCATTGATACCAATCATGTAGATTCTTCAACCAAGAATTCTGCGTTCAGCCAACAGATCTTATTGAATATTTCCCTGTATTATTAGTCTCATCATTTTATATTTAGGTCCCCTCATTACGTGGCCTAATTATTCCAGTAGTCTTGTTTGTATTGTGGTGATTAGATCTGTTTCTATACCAACTCTCTCCAGTAGTTAACTATTTGTAATTTCGTCAGTCCATGATATCTTTAATACTCTACAATATAACCAGAGTTCGAAAGCCTCGATTATTTTTAAATTACATTTTTTTAATGTCACAAGTCTCTGCTCCATATAATAATATTGAAAATATAGAATGGTACATAATATGATTTCCAATTTAAGATATTTCCTATTACAAACATACTCATTTTCACTTCCATTATTGCCTAAATTATAATAAATGAATTTGTACAAATAATAAAAATTGGTCAATAGAACTGGTCGAAATTTCAATGCTTATTTTATGTGAAAAAGATTACATTAAATATTGTAACTGGGCCCAATGGACCGCCTGGTAGACAGAAGGTTAATGAGACAACGAAAATTAACAAGGTTTAAGACTATATTATGTATGCCATAGAAATATTAAACAAATCATTTTCTTGTTTATAGAATTCTTGCATAAAATATTTTTGTTACTCATCAATGAATTATTTTGACTGATTAAAAAATTATGTTTTCTGTATGAAAATAACGATTATTTGTGTAATATACAAATATTTTCAAAGTTCAATTACACTTTTTATATTTGTTCAGTCAGTCACTTACCTTCATACTCAAGTATGAAGTTCTAACTTGATGTTGACTAGTGGTAATTAAATTTATGTAACACATGTAATATGTATCTGGAATGTATAGAATTTATTTTCCAGTAAGAATATTTTCAAGCTATGATAATTAGCTTTAATTTATGTAATATGTATCTGGAATGTATAGAATTTATTTTCCAGTAAGAATATTTTCAAGCTATGATAATTAGCTTTAATTTAGTCATATTTTAAACATCAGACCTATTTTAAACTCTGATCACTGTTATAATATCCTACTCCATCTTTGTATGGTAATTTTTTATTCCTTTTCTAAACAAAATAGCATGTGTTTCTTTTAATCACCAGTTTTTACAAGCATATGTTTCTCACTGCATTAGATAATAATTCAATATTAAAGCATTAACTGATTTTCATTACTTTATCTGTGTTAATATTAATATATTTTATAACAAACTGCACAGTGCACATCCAAGGCAGCGGCTGTGTTAAATACCACTTACACTGAAGCGTTCGGCTGTGCAAAATAAATACAAGGATTCGCTAACACCATGAGGATCTCTGGATTCTATGAATGGAGTTTGATAGTAACCTTGTTACAAATCTGACCAATTTCAATAATTTGGTGTGACAAAGCTATTGTGATTTTGTTATTATAGAATCAATTTTTTTCTTAAACCATCTTTCAATTTTATTTAAGGCCGTTTTAGCAGTTCAAGCACACCGCGATTTGAAATGGGCGTATCACTTACATTTCTACACTGCTTACGCGAGACTATCTTTACTCAGAGGTGCAGGCCAACGAGTAGTTTAATGACAACAAATGCATTACTCTTAATTCAAATTAGTTTTAACACGAACTAACTGACCGTACGTTCATGAGATTTGACGTCACGAAGGCGATAAAAAAAGTTTTATAGTAAACAGGAAAGTCAAACAATCAGCCTGCTTGTTTTCCATAATTTAAATCGGAGCTAAACACTTCAAAGTGAAGTGATAAAATTCTTTCTGATTATAGAATTTCATTTTTAATTATGCTTGGCTGGTGGCCTGTAATACTGTTTAACACTTTGACTGCCTACAGTGTTTATCGAGTCTCATAGTGTCTTAGTCAGATTGCCAGCCGTGTATTATTTAGAACAAAATCTATGAAAAACTATTTGCCATTTTAGTTTGTTTCTTTATTTTTGAACTAAACATATAGACAGTCTCCTCAAAACCAAAAAATGACTCTTAAGAAGCGGAACTTTTAACCATATTGGAAAGCGTAGTGATAATGATTATTCAGATTATGTTGAAATGAAATACTCATTCAAATAGAGTTACAATGATGTAGATGATATTCTGCAGTGTACCCTTATAGCAGTAGATATAAGAAATTCAGCTATCCTAAAATCTAAAAAAAACTTCTACAAACAATTCTGGACAATAACGATCCGAGCGATTTTTTCCCTTGATTCTTGATGATGAACTAGTCACTTTATTTGTAGAAGAAACATAATTTGTTTTGAAGGAATTATTGCAAAGTCAAGAGTCAAGAGAAACCTGTTACCTTTGAAGATGTGTTTACTTTCATAACACTAGTGCTTGCAGATTGGAACAATAAAGTCCAATAAGATACAAGATAATTAAAAAGTCATTATATGCTTAATATAAAATGGTGTTATGAGCCAATGAGTTGTGCATAGTTTTTTTTAATCATGAGGTGTCTACATTTTACAAATCTCACAACAAAATTCTACAGATTGAATGGCCAAAAATTAAAATGATCATTAATTTTTTCAACAGAAAGATGTTGGCCATTATCTCAGAAAAATGTGGATGAATCAATGGTACTATGGCGTTGGCGACTGATTTTTTGCCAATATATCAAAAACAAAAGGCATAAATATGGAGTTCAACTGTATGTGAAAACTGAAACAAACTGCTTAATTTTAAAAACTTTAGTGTGTACTGGAGCAGTGGACAATATTGTACGGAAAGATGAGTGAAGTGGTTCAGGATTTATTGGAAAAATATATAGATTGTGGACATAGTGTTTATAGTAACAATTTTTATAATTCTTATGACTTAGCTCTCTATTTAACCACACTAAATTCATGTTGCACTGGCCCTCTCAATGTCAAACGACAAAATAATCTTTTAGGGTAATTGCACAAAAATATAAAAAAGCGCCAAACAGCTGCTGCCTACTGTGGTCACAACAGTAGGAAAGTGGAAGACAAAGGGACATTTTGTACATATAACAAATATGGAAACAACCTAAACAAATTTAGAAGGCGACAAATGAATAACAAACCTGCTCCAAAAGTTCTTTATAATAAGCATATAGGAGGAGTTGACCGAGACAAGAATAACTTAATTTCTACTACTCCTTTGAGATAAACACATTGAGGTGTCATAAAAATAGGTGTCCATTAGGTACACCTAATTCTAATAAATTCCTAATTGTTTATTTTAATTGAGTCTTAATTTAAATAATATAAATTTTAGTTTAGTTTGAAAACTGTTTATGTATGGTTTACACAATCAGTGTTAGCCTAACAACAAATATAATATACATTTAAAAAAATACTCTCCAAGACAACCTTGAAAAGTGTGCAGTCAAAGAGAAATATGTTCCATAATGGCTAAATTTTATTGAAGTGCAGTAAAAATAATATTTCATACTATTCTAACTAAACCACATTAAGGAAAATAATTATGTTCATATTAATTTCTGTAAAATATATTTGTGTCACTATCATTTATCGTTTCCTTTCAAATTGGTACACAAGGAGTACTTTTGAAATATTTGCGCAAAAATGTATACACCACCCCGTTTCTAAAATATTTAGCACAATAATCTCACACAAACTGTTTATTTCTTTCTAGGTTCCCGAAAAAGCTGTATCTGATAAGACCGAAGTAAGTATCTATTTCTATTGTTTATATCTTGTGTTAATCTATAAGACTTCAAATTCAAAAATTCTTAAGATTATGTGGCCAAAGCACTCTACATACCTAAACTGCTTTACAGTTTAGTCTTAAATTAAATAACATATTTGTATTTTGTTTATTTCAGTGAATGTATACTATACCTAGTATCCATATCTAGATAGTCATTTACGTGATTGTTAATCTCCTGATAAGAAAGGCACAACAGTGTAAGCCAAAGAGTGGGTTGTGTAGAGTGTTTATTGTTAACAGATAATGAAAAGAGTTGTAAGATATTGTAAGCATAAAATAATTTTTTTTGTGTTAACTCACTTCTGACAATCTAGTTCAATGAATTGTGTTAACATTCTTTCTTTAGAGAAAAGGAAGTCGTTATAATAGGTACACTCATTTTAATGATTGATGTTTTTAATTTTTATATGCAATCCATTTGTTTATGTAGACTAAACTGATTCAGATAAATCTAATGTCTAGTATAAATACATAGTAATAATAAAAATATACACTTGAGTGTTACAAGATAATAGAATAAAATATTCTCAATATCAGATACAATATAATACAAGGTGGTCCAGAATTATGTACATTAATTTCTAGAGCTCATAGTACGTCCAAAAATAAGGGTACTTCTTTATGTACACTTTTTTATAAAACTGAATAATTAGGGAGATACAACCCTTTAAAGGGGTGAATTGAAATTCTTATTTTTTCAAAATCTTCCAAACGGTTTTGAATACGGAGTTCATATTTTGGGAGTGATTATAAGGCGTTAGGATAATTAATTTCATGTCACCACCTACCACATCCTATATTATAATACAGGGTAGTTTTGGAGGGTAAGTGGGGGTTATTGCTTCACACGTTTTTTAATTTTTACATGTTTTAAAAAAATATTTTAAAAATTGTTTCATTAGACTTTTCTACGCAAAAAAGGTGCTCTTGTAATATTTCAATAGATATCACCGTTTTCGATTTATTCAAACTCGAAGGTATACATGTATTTTATTGTAATCGTTACATTTCTTAATATTCATCAAGTATGCTTTGGAATTGACACTTGTGTTAGCAACAACACTTTAATCTCAAGTAGTCTATGAATTGTCAGTGACGTTTAATAACAATTAAATTATTTTATCTACACTTTTATTGTACTCGACAGTGAAATTTGTTTAACACTTCTCTTTTGCTATATTTTTAAATTTGTTTGCCCGCAATATGGCACACTATTCAAATTCTGAGATGACCGACATACTTTTAGTATTAGGGGAATGTTCGCGAAATGCTGCTGCCGCTGTACGCTACGGAGAAAAGTATGCGAACAGAAATATTCCCAATGCCAGGACTTTTGTAAGTACTGAACGGTGACTGAGAGAAACCGGTTGTCTTCAAAGAAGGAATACAGATGCTGGTCGTCGTAGAGAAGCAAGAAATGTTCGCGTTGAACAGTAAATATTTGATGCTGTAATAAATGACCCCACAATAAGTACACGCAGGTTAGGATTAAGAACGAATATTTCCCATTAAAGTGTTTTGAGAGTTCTGCATGAAGAGCAATTACATCCTTACCACTATCGACAGGTGCAGGAATTGTTACCTGACGATATGCCACTTAGAGTTGATTTTTGTGAAGTATTGCAAAACAAAGTTCAAACTGCACCAAATTTTTTAAGCAACATTCTGTTTACAGACGAGGCCACATTTACAAGACAAGGTATGTTCAATTCTAGAAATATGTACTTCTGGGCTGAAGAAAATCGAAGGGCTACAATGGAAACTCACTTCCAACACACGTTCAAGATAAACATTTGGGCAGCTACTTTAGGAAATAGTTTCATAGGATACCACATCTTTCCTGGAAATTTAAATGGTAACATGTATTACAATTTTCTAGACAATATTTTACATGATATTTTGGAAGATATTCCATTACAAATACGAAGAAACATGTTTTTCATGCATGATGGTGCTACACCACATTACACAAGAATTTGTAGAAGGTGGTTACATGAACATTTCCCTGATAGGCGGATAGGCCGGGGTGCGGATGCACCGATTCATTGGCCTGCTCGTAGTTCTGATGCAGTAAATCATAACTACGAATCTACTGTTCGTAGATGCTTGCAGTAAATGAGTAAGAGACAAAATTGAACAAGTATTTACCGATTTACAAAACGATCCAGTAACATTAAATGGATTAATGCATTCGCTAAATAAAAGAATTAGATTATGTATTTAACAAAATGGAGGACATTTTGAACAGTTGTTGTGGAATATTATTTTCGCCATTAATTAAATGTTAAGTATTAATTATTAAGTTTTCCATTAATTTGTAATATTATTGCTAACACAAGTGTCAATTCCAAAGCATACGTGATGAATATTAAGAAATGTAACGATTACAATAAAATACATGTATACCTTTGAGTTTAAATAAATCGAAAACAGTGATATCTATCGAAATATTACAATAGCACCTTTTTTGCGTAGAAAACGTCTAAGGAAACAATTTTTAAAATATGTAAAAATTAAAAAACGTGTGACGCAATAACCCCCACTTACCCTCCAAAACTACCCTGTATTAATATATGATGTGGTAGGTGATGACATGAAATTAATTATCCTAATGTCTTATAATCACTCCCAAAATATGAACTCCGTATTCAAAACCGTTCGGAAAATATTTGAAAAAATAAGAATTTCAATTCACCCCTATAGTACAACCCAAGGGTTGTATCTACCTTATTATTCAGTTTTATAAAAAAGTGTACATAAAGAAGTACCCTTATTTTTGGACGTACTGTGAGCTCTAGAAGTTAATGTACATAATTCTGGACCACCTTGTATGTGAAGAAGCAGACAAGATATTTAGCCTAAAACATTCTAGGCTAAGATGGATGCAACCTGATGGTTACAGAGAAGTACAGATCTAAGAGAAAGAGAGAGAAAAAGTCCTCGCAGTCCTCCTAATAGTTTTGATACTCTATGAACTAACTGAATGCTTGTCATAAGTTAGTGTGAGACAAATGGCCGATTGATAACAATAATACAGTATTGTTGTTATTAGTTCTATCATCAGTTCACTTCTACCAAAATCGTTATGGTTGTCAAACCACACTTGTACACAAGTAGGTGTCAGAGTGAACTTCCTGCATACCATAGGCGTGAAATTTTAATTTACAAAAGCAAAAATGAGAAAATAATATTAATAGAATTTGTGGGAAACATTTAATTGTGTTGTTGCAAGTCTTTGTTTATTATAATTATTACACAATATTATAACTTATATATAATTTCACTAACAACTGTTATCTTATTACAGGAAAGTCAACCAGTGCAGAACACAACTACAGAGAGCAGTGCTTAAGCGTAATCGCGCTCAAGTCCATCACTCTATAATCATAAAATATTTAACAACGTTAGCGCGTGAGTTTGTAAAAGTAAAAGCAGACAAAAGGCATTTCATGGCGAATATTTGTACCACTAATAATTTTTGTCAATTCATCTGTAAGAAAAAAAATACCTGCAAAAAGAATTTGCTACGGTTTGGCGCCACAATTTTCAACTGGGGTTTCGAAAAACATTTTTGATACTTTTTATATTCCCATTGATGTTTTTATACAGAGATTTGTAAATTGTAGATAAGCAAATTGCAACTCGTTTGAAAATGGCGACAAACTGCTTTTTGTATTTTTTTATGTAACTTGCATGAAATGTCTTGAGACCTTATGTCATGCTGCAAAATTTTTCCTTCATAACAATAAAGTAAAAAAAAATCATTTAAAAATTCGACGCCTTGTCTTGTCAACATTGACGAGTGTCGTACCAAAAAAATATGATTGCAACATCTAACTTTGAAAAGTCTTTTCCATCTTGTGAGCAAACGGAAAAGAACCAAAAAAGTTTAAAAAATACAAAAAAAATCCGTAAAAGTATAAACACAGGACAGTTTATTTTCGACTTACATTTATGGGTAACATGATTTTCTCGACATTTGTAAACAGTAATCTCATGTCAAAATCTTTGGGTGCTAGTCATGTAATTATTGGTGTTTTTTCTTTATTGCGTTACTGTAGTGTTTGTTTTAGATAACTACAAATATACAGTAATTGGGAGTTCTTTTTATTTATTATTTTTTCGCTATTTTGTTCAATATAAGTGGAAAATAAAGACTGTTCTCGATATTTTTGTTTTATTTAAGATTACTTTAAATACAGAAAAATGCTACAGACAAAAAATTTTACAAGAGTAAATCCACTGACGAATTTTAAACATACATACTAGAAAATAATTGGTTGATTGGTGTTAAAAGATTAAGGCTGAAACCATATTAGGACAGAACAAATTTACCGGGACATTCGTTGATATAGGTATCTAATTGGTTTTAATAAGTTTGGTGATAACAAAACAGAATATGCAAAAGATTGAACATCTTTTGTTACTAATAAACAATATACAGTGTAGGAAAAAGTTTATGGTCGGTATGGACCTTACGTGAGATGGAGTGAGAAACAGCTGTTTAGAAAGAGAGAGGTATATTAGGTCCGCCCTTTATATCGCCAAACATGCATGCCTGGAAAGGGGAAGTTCAACGTTGCCAAACTTATTGGATTTATTTGACCTGTTGGTTTTTTTTTGCATTTGAACAATGTTCTAAGATAATCCAATTTAGGCGAAATTGATTTAAATGGCAGCTTAGTGTTTTTTATTGGGAATATGCCACAAGTTTACTTTACAATAAGTGTAATATAACATTTTGATTTCCACTTCGGAAATCATTTTATATAAATAAAATTTATTATTGTTTCGTATTTTAAGTATGATTTCCGAATTAAAAATCGAAACATCAAAATAAGCTTATTTTAAAGTCACATTGTGCCTTATTCTCAATATGAAATAAACTGCATACAATAACGCCACATTAAAAAATATTCATACACAATAATTATTTGGCAACGTCGGTCGGTCTGGTCTGGTCTGGTTTGGCCGACCGAGTAACGAGTGGTAGAGGTGGGTCGTGCTAGTTTTATCGTTAAGAGCGTAGGCGCAAAATTTCGGACCAATGCTGTTTAAATCATGGACGTACCATGGTTTAAATGCAATCATTTTTTTCGAATCCTGAGAAAACTAATATTTTTGAAAAATTTAAACGCAGAATGAAAGATTACAATATTACCGAGGGCCGAAAGTCCCTGAAAACTTCTATAATGTTTATATATATACAGGGGTGAAAAAGAAGAGAAAATTTAGTGTGATTTTTAATCTCAAATATCACATTCAAAAAAACTTTTTGTTTATTCTAAGGGACTTTCGGCCCTCGGTAATAATGTAATCTTTCATTCTGCGTTTAAATTTTTCAAAAATATGTTTTAGTTTTTTCAGGATTCGAAAAAAATGAACACCATGTCCGCGGTAATATTTCCCAAATCGAACATTCGCTATCTTTGTCATACAACGCACTCAGTCGAACTGAAAGTGGTGGCAAGGCGACTAAATGTTTAACACGGCTTCAGGAATATTTTGTGTTGCTTATTAAATAACATTAATAGTTTATTTGATAAATATTCAATTTAAGATGTGAAATTAATAAAAAATTATTTATTGTTTATTATTTATGAAAGATCCAAGTATCAGATTAAGTCATTAAAGTTCAAATAAAAATATTATTTTATAAAAGTTTGTTTTCATAATCGTAAATGCGAGTTTGGGAATAAACTAAAGTGCCCATGGTGTAGATATAAAAAGCTACAAAGGTGGCGCATGACAATATCTATAGTGAATTATTAAATTTTTGACATCATATAATAAAGATGATTGTAAGAGTTTATAATTAAAGGTTTTGCTTTTCATGAAGAGGTTTAACGCTTTTTTTTCATTTTACACATCTACATATTTTTTTGTTTATTTTTTTTAGAGTTTAATGATTAAAACACATTTCAATGTTGTAGCTTTCAGTTCAGTGTATCTTTATTGTTTATTTACAATATTTATCTTGGACTATATCAATGGTACTTTTAAGACTTAAAACTTAATTGTTTGTCTATTTATATAGAAGAGAGTGGTTACATAGGCCTCTTGAAAATACATAGTATAATAACTAGGTACCTGCATTGAAAGTAAAATAAAAACTAATAATTAAAAAATATTATGTTGTAATAAATATTCTCTGCAATAAGATCCTATTAATCATAATTAATAACTTATCATTATTGGATTATTTCAAAAGTGTGTTTTCTGGATTGTTTTATATGCTTTTTATTACCCTAAGAAATTACATATAAATGAGTGTTTACAAGAGGTAAAAACATCTGTGCTTGAAATTTTTGGGTGTCGATGCCCTACTATTATATTATTTATCTATGTCGATGCAGTTCTAGGAAAACGTGTCTGTCGACTCTCAAAACAGATGTACTATCGAAAGTGATCGAAATAAATTTGCAATGGGAATGTAAAAGCAATTTTAAAATTATTTTGAAATATACGAGTGGTCTCATAAAGTGGACGTATAAACGTATGTTTGTTTTTATGGAACTCCCGTATTTTATTGCATTTTTTATACCTTAATATTGTAATTCCGGAGATATTTCGATTTTTCTTAAATTGTAGGGCATTAAAAATAATAATAACTAGTACTAGTACTAAACTAATGAATTTAGCCAAACCAGAGAACTACGAACTGGCCAAACAATATTATAATTGTGGGTAAAGCGTAATAATAGAGAATAGCGACGTATTTAAAGTTATATGCAAATACACAGGGTGTCAATTATTTATAATTATTCTTTTATTATTTGTTATATCACAATTATTTCACAATTAAATTTTGTTTTTTTAAGTACATATATTAATTTTTTTAATATTTTTTCCTTATTATTATTAGTTGTTTATCTTCGACAGCAATTAAATTCTAACGCAGAAAGTCACGGCGAAATTAGATCTACGATAGAGCAGGCTAGAGCTGCTTTTAGAAGGATGTCCAAGGTGTTATGTAACAGAGACCTAAAATTGGCTTTGAGAAACCGCCTACTTCGCTGCTACGTGTTCTCGGTCTTACTTTATGACGTCGAGTCCTGGACTGTAAATAAAATCTTGAGGGTTTCGAAATGTGGTGCTATAGAAGAATTTTAAAAGTTTCCTGGGTGGAGAAAATTCGAAACTCCACAATACTAGAATGTCTTAGCAAGACTACTGAGATCATAAAAAGCACCAAGCATGGAAAACTGGAGTGTTTCGGACATGTAATGAGAGGTACCAAATATAGGTTGCTACAAAATATCATGTAAGGAAAAATAGCAAGCAAACGCACCTCAAGCTCTTGTCAAGCAGGACGAAGAAGAACCTCATCGTTAAAGAACATGCGAGATTGGTATAGTGTTGATACAAGCAAGCTATTTAGGGTGGCAGTGAATAAAATTAAGATATCTATGATGGTAACCAACATTCTGAAAGAACATGGTACATGAAGAAGAAGAATATTTTTTCCTTAATTAGAACACTTTGTATATGAACGTATGACTATAGTTTAATTATTTTATCGTTTAAACAATATTTAAGATATCTTAAGCGCAGAATAATAAACAATCACAATTTCAACCTCACTTTTCGTCAATTATTTCTTGTATTAATATATCAATCTCCTGGAATATCAATCTTTTCGGGGTCCACACGCAAAAGTAACAAAAGTTTTTATTTGCTACAAATAGCTGCCCTTGAATTTGATAGTAATATGCATGATTTCTCTTTAAAATATATCTGTCATCTTTCACTTTTATATACTTTAGTATCTTCCTATCTATTGCATCTTTAGGACATATATCTTTTGCTGAAATTAGACATTTAATTTCGACAATCATATTATTACCTATGAGTCCATCTGGTGTTGCAGCTAAACAAGGATATTCCTGATGAACATACATTCCTGATGGACAAATATCTAACGCAAGCATTTCGCTTAATTCTTGTACTGCAATGGATTATTTTTCTATTCCATGGGCTGTGAATTTATTTCCTTTAAAAGCATTTAAAATAATGTCTTTGGCAACCTTTCTTTTGTCGGTTGTTACCTTTAATTTACAAATTCGACCAAAATTCGAGGCTGTCAGACGTTTCTTTTTTTCTGAATACCATTCACTTGAATGCCGTTGAGCTATTGTGTTATTGGATAATTGAATACATTCCTCATTATTCTTAAGAAGTTCCGATCTAAATTTTTCTTTAATTTTCTCTAATTCAATGATCAATTTTTAACCTTTTTTGTGCTTGTGGCCCATAATCTTCATCTGGAGCATGGTTTTTTGTTAAATATTTGATTGATTTTCGCAAATTTTTGTAATATAATTTTCTTCGCAATGTATTTTTGGTACACACTGAAATAAATTTTTTTGTATATACGCCAGGACTTTTTTGTGTGATGCTTTTGTGCAGGGCTTGGTGATATTGACCTTTAGAGATGTACGACAAAGCAGAAGCGTGGCATCTCATTTTATAGGACCCCCGAGAGCTCTAATTT